AGAGGGCGGCCTCCCCACGGGGCGCCACAAAATAATATCAATAAAAGTCTCTCTTTCTCCCCCCCCCCTCCTTTCGCCCGCCGCTCCTCCCGCAGTTGAGGCTCCGCCCTTTTTTTTGGCTCCGGTCTTCGGACGTAACCGTCCCGCGGTTTGAAACCGTCGGGATGGCGGCCACGGGGGGACCCACTCGCCCGTGGGAAGGCGCTCAGGCGTGCTTGGTCCGTGAGAAAAGGGTTTCTCTGGAGAGAGTCGGGTGGGTGGAGTTCCACACCCCGAAAGGGCCGACTCTAGGCGGGAAGGCCGGTTCTACCTGACGGGGGAGGGCTTGGGAACGCTTCCACGGGCTTTGTGCCCGTGGCAACTGTCCCGATTTGTTTGGGTCCGACATTTTCTTTCTCGACCTGTCTCGGTTCAGGCGTTCGTGTTATTGGCGCGCGCGCGCACACACCCCAATTCTTTAGAATAATGCTGTTTTCCGAACGAAATATTTACTTATAGAAAAATCTATTACGATGTGTCAGGGTTTAGTTTCTGGAAAGAGGAGCCGCCAGCAACCCCGGAAGTCGCGGCGTCTTACAATCAGAGCCTTGTTTCCTTCTGCTCTCAGAGTAAGGGGGTGGTGGTGGTTGTGTTCGCTTTAAGCTGGAGAGAGTGGACTGTCCTCCGAGCATGTTAAGTTTCCTTGCGCCTGTCCCAGGATCAGGAATCGGACCATCGAATACTGTGTAAGCTCTACCGCTGAGCTTGCTATAGCCTCGCTCAACCCTCAAATCGAAGTTACAGCAACAGTTAGGCATCCTTCAGTCTCCAGAGACTAGGGTACAAATCGTGCTCTGCATGGATAGGGTTGCCAGATGTCAGGCAAAAGGAGGACATGTCCTCCTTTTTAGCCTAATGACCTCCCTCAGACAGGCAAAGATAAAAATCTTTAAAATGTCAGGCTTTTGTATATTTTATGTTATAATTTTGGATGGGAGGGGGAGAGGTGGAAGGACCCCCTTCCCCCTGGCTTTCCCCACCCCTACCTGCCCGCCCACTCCGGTATTATGAAAAAAGCCTCCATTGAATTTATTTTTATTTTTTAACATGACTGTTTTTTGGTTGGTTCACTAAGAGACATTTATTGGCAGCTATTGTAATAAAATTGTATTGATTGTGGGTTTAATCTGGAACGATTCAAATGAAACATTCAATATGTCCTCCTTTGTCCTCCTTTTTGTCTTTCTATGTCCTCCGTTTAGTACCCGCGTATCTGGCAACCCTATGCATGGAAGACTTGGAACAGCATCTAGTGTGGCTGAGAAGGCCAATTCGAGAGTGGCAATCCCTTTCCGTGTTGTTTCGACGCTGTATGCGAAGCTGGAGTTTTCTCTCCAGAGCACAAAGCCTGGGTAAAATAATATAAAAAGAAGAACAATCTTGTACAACCTGTAAATCTTATCAATTTAGTTCACACAGATCTCCCCTAGTTTACAACCCATTTCATCACACTGAAATACATTTTGTAGTCTTCAAGGTGTCAAAATACTTTTGCTTGTTCTTTGTCTTTATTGTACTGTATCAGACCAACGCAGCCACCTCTTACAATTCCAAGTTGCCCTTAGGTATTGGGAACAACAGGCCATGATTTAATGATTGATTCTGGTAGCCCTCATTGTAGTCATTGCCAAACTGCTGCAATATCGTAAAACGTTTATGAATTCTGATTGGTTGCCCACAATACCAACCCTACAGTGCTGGCAAACAGTACAGGAAAAATCAAATGTAAGTTTAACAAAGAAAGGGGGCTTTTCTCTCCTGGCTATATGCAATGATTGGCTTGTTTCAGAATAAAAGGCTGACATCTTCACCCCAGCATTTTGGGGTGAGCTGCCCTTCTGGTCACAAGCCACCTGTTATTCACCAGTTCCAAAGATGAAGGAAAACATTTTAGAACATATCAGACAAAAAAATGAGACAAAATCATTATGGCACCTTAAAAGACTATTGCATTTTAACATGAGTTTTTGTGCGTGAAGTCCACTTCCTCAGACTTCAACCACAAAAGCTCACATTCAAATATAGCAGTCTTTAAGGTGCCACAATATTTGTCTTTTTGTTTTGTTATTTTCTAAGACACTTGCACAGACTAACACAGAATGTAGTTTGAAAAGTACACCCAAGAATATAGGGATCGTGGGTTTTCCCATCTGTTTGGCCGTGTTCTTAAGGTTGTTCCTCCTAACGTTTTGCCAGTCTCTGTGGCCGGCATCTTCAGAGGACAGGAGTCAGAACTCTGTCTGTGTTCTGTTGCAGTTTGTTGTATAGAGTATTTATAGCTGTGGGATCAGCTTTTGTCCTTTTCGGGAGATTGGGTGATTATGGTGATCACCGTGTTTTTGTTGTGGTTGTATTATTGTGATAAGGGGAGAGATGATCTGTCACTGTGATTGGGGGGGGTCGTTAGCTGGTCTTTTGTGTGCAGTGATCACTGGTCCTTGTGGCCGGGTAGAGTTCGTTGACCTTTTGCAGGCTGTATTTTTCAGTGCTAGGAGCCAGGCTTTGTTGAGTTTTAAACTTTCTTCTTTTTTGTTGAAGCTCTGTTGGTGTTTGCAAATTTCAATGGCTTCCCTGTGCAGTCTAATATAATGATTGCTGGTGTTGTCCAGTACTTCAGTATTTTGAAATAGAATTTCATGTACATCATGTTCAGCTACTGCCGAAAAATGGGCAATAGCTGAACATGCCCTAAAACAAGCTGGACATGAAATGGAAGAAAAACCTTAAGAACATGGCCAAACCCCCCGGAAAACCCACAACAACCATCGGATCCCGGCCATGAAAGCCTTTGAGAATACAATATAGGGGTCCCTTTCCTGACAAGTTATATAAAATTGTCAGTGTTATGATTATGGTGGAAATAACCAGGCACTTTCTAGTACTACATTCTTAACAGGAACCAGGGGTGTTTAAAAATCTATAGAGAAATGCCCAACTCAGATGGTGGAGTATGTGCAGTAAATCACACACACCTCTGCCAGGAAGACCAGTCATTGCTGTTCTGGAAGGTTTCATTGAATGTTCTCTGAATGTTGCAGCAAATAGAGCAGCAAAAGAGCAGCTTCCCAAGCTCCTGAGTCCGGCATTGGCAGGATAAAGTCACATCAACTACATTTTTCTGCAGCAAAGAAACAGCTAACACAGCTCTCAAGTTCCTAGCCAGACCTCAAATGCCTTGTTCTGAGGAATCGTCAGAGCATGTAATTTTGTGTGTTGTGGCCATGGATACTGCATGTGCCACCATACCTACAAAGTTTTGCTCTGAGCAGAGACCCCTTAAAGCAAGGCATTTTGGTAGAGGCTGATGGGAAAGTTGAAGAGGAAGTGGCAATGCAGAAAACAGGGCACTATCTTCCCACTTGACAAAGGGACCTTACTTGTACAAAGCTTCATGAAATTCTTTTGCCTGTAACCAGAATCACAGCAAATAAAACATTATTTGAAGATCAGAACAATACTCAGTTACAAGATTATTGAGCTTCTAGAAAAGATAAATCAACACTGACTGTTATTATATAACAGATACAAGTTTTAAACAAAAACCTAAGTATCTGTTAAATATCGGTGCAGTGTGCATGCAGAGTGGCCTTGGCTGCCAGATGGGCAGTTAAAAATAAGTACTATTTCAGAAATCTGCACCTGGTTATAATATTGTATAAAATTCCACAGTATTGTTTCCAATGCCCTGATGACCATTGGAAATCACTGGAATGTGTTTCATCCCCTAGCGAATTATTTCTATTGCCAGGTTTCTTTATTTTGTTAATTGTTTGAATTCTTTGTTTTCAGTTCTTGCATCCCCTGGAATTGCAATGTAAATTATCCAGACGTTTATTTATTCTATTATTGTTATGCCTGTTTTATGCTCAAGGTGTATGTATATTTGAATCTGAAAGTCCCACAAGATCTTAATTTAATTGTTTTCTGGCACCTACTCTACCTGATGTTCCCATGGATTCTTGGATCCTGGCAGATTATATTTTTTACATAGTGACCAGTGTGTTACTTTTGTTGCTCTGCTGTCCATTACTTTGTTGTTTGTCTGCATAATCTCTGGGCATTAACAGATGAGGTGTGACACAGTTTCATTTTTTTTTCTTGGCATAGTTGACATTTGCTATTTTCTCTAATTCCTCAAATATTACGTTTCACGACATTAGTTTGAAGTGCTTGTTCTTCTGCAGAAGGGATAAAGCCTTTGGTTTATTTCTTGATGGTCCGAGTTTTAACCATGCCCATGTTAAGTTACTATGCTTTCCAACAATATTTCTCAGATATTGTCCATGCAATGGTTTCTTTTTCCAGCTGTTTAATTTATCTTCAGATTTCAGAGGTGGAGCGATGGAAGTGAAAGCAGAGGGAATCCTCGGGGCTCTGGGAACCCCTGTGTAAACTCTGGGTCAGCAGACACCCCCCCCCAGCAGTGGAAGGGAGGGCAAGTTCTACAGGAGAGTGGGCTTGCAGCGAAGGAGGGCTGGAAAACTCCAAATTCAAACAGCAATCTGTCTTCATGAGAGTTTCCTTTCTCAAAGCACCTGGCGCGAGAGAGGCCATGTCCTGGTGAATTAGCTGCCTAACTTCACCAAGTTGGGAAGTGTGAAGAAGTTTTTTACCTGACTATATGAACTCTAAGTAACTGGCCTTTTATTTCTCATGCGCAAGCACAGCTCAAACTGAAGCTGCTGATTTAGGAGCAGAGAAGAAATAAACAAAACGCTGGAGGAGCAATTAAGAAAATAAAAGACAGAAAAAATAACAAAAAGCCAGCTAAATTGGGGCAATTAAGAGACAAATTGGTTGTTACTTAACCTCTCTTTGAAATCTAATGGA